AACTGCAATCGAATGAAATTGTAACAATATTTGGAATCAAATAAGAAAAACAAACGCTTCGGAAAAAAGTAATTCTACTGTATTTTATACGCGAAATTTTATGTGAGACAAAGAAAATGAGAGAGAGAACACGTGTCGAAAATAAAAATATAAATCGAAAGATAGTTTGTTTTAATTTTTATTTAGAAAATCTTTGCCTCTATAAATACTTAAAAATGTTAACATTAACATTGACTAATATTATGAACGAATAAATTTATCTGAATTCAATATATATTAATGTAATGTTGTATATGCAATAGATGCTTAAATTATTTTGCATTGTGGTAGTAGAATATAATTTCTAACTTTGTTTATATAGATTTAAATGAATATTTGAAATTACATGCGAAATAATACAAAGTATTATGTATTTACGTCGATAGTACGTCGATAGTACGTCGATAGTACGTCGATAGTACGTCGATAGTACGTCGATAGTAACATCACATTGTGGTTATTCATGGGGATTCGCAGTAAAATAATAAATAATAAAGGGCTACATGATATAATAGGGCGTTGTGCCAGAGAAAAGTACCAGGGCGAAAGGATGAAAAAAGAGGAGGGTCGTCTTTGTGCATCTGTATATCTCCGAATATTTCAAATGGTTCTTCGCTCTGTACAAAAACCAGTCTAATTATGCTATTTTCTTCTTGAATATTTATTCCTTGCTTGTTTGATGTTATAAGAACTGAAAACATGAAAAAGAAGAGCTTGTGCAAAACAAAAAGATTACTACAGCACTGTATATTTAACATTGAAAAATTTTGTTTTGCATCGCAAGAGCGACACAAATTTTTCTCTTTTATTTTTATCCAATCCATTTCTTATGCATAATCACGAATAATTTAGTCGCGATCCGTAATCTATTAATACCGGCATATATTTGCGATTGCTTCAAGGACAGATGCTACTTTCAGATACGTTCGTAAAAGTGGATAATCAAGCGAGGCAGTGCCGTTATAATCGTTAAACCCATACCGTTTGATGAATGTCCTTGATAGCAAAAACCGTACTTTGGTGTGACTTTGGTAATTATTCCGGGAACATGTTTGAAGTTCGATCACGTTTGTATGTGTAGCGCGTTTCCCGATACACACGACACCGATGCGATACGTAAGATCCGTTACACGAGTGTGATGTACGCAATTATTGTTGTGTCGATCGTATTACGAGACGATCTAAGCTTTCCTTGGATATGACTCAGCCCGCGCTATCTGTGCAAATCATTTCCTCTCTGTAATAATACACGCAATAAAGGCGCGCGCGCGATAAGCGAAATAATTGGAGCGATGGCACGAAGGAAGGTATGAAGAGAAATTTATGGCGATGTTTTGTGAGAATTGCAAAGAGGCTATGAATGAATTATCATTGAATTATCGTTATAACGATTTTACTTATCAATGATACATTAACAATTAAGCAAATATTTACTAAATATGGTTATAATAAAGATTTTATTTCAGAGTATTATAATAGATATTATCACATATGCATATAATAATACACACATAGATGTATAATATGTTAATGGTGGGACTTTATAATATATGACGTGATTGATTGTATGATATATAATTTATACTATTGGACTTAATTATATCACATTCTCAAATAACGCTGAAATAATAAAAATTGGTATATTGTCGAAATAAATCTCGTTATTGTTGCATCAATATGTAAATCTATTTTATTACAGTGTCTTCGCAATATCAGTGGATGCTAATATAAATTCACGCGCGCGACGGAAATTAGAAAGTTTTTACAATATGTATTGTATTCTGAATATTCTGCGAATGCGAATGTCTCATGGAACGAACCGTGAATTACCGCGGTAGTTTCTATGCTGAATTACACATTGTACCATTCACCGTAAACGTGATTCGAGCGTTTGCCGTGTCCCACGCATGCGCCTCTACGCGATTGCGAAACCTTCCCCTCTTGTGTATCTCTTCTAATGAAAAATAGCGAAAAGTCTCTCTCTTTCGTAAATAATAACGAGATTGCAAGGCGCATATATATATATATACTCTTCGTGCGAACGAGACGGTGAAAAAGCACGCGCCTCGCGTGATAAGTTTATCGGCGCGGGCTTGAGCAGGAGAGAAAGTCAACGAACCAATAGCGAGCGGTACTTGATTGACTCTGAATGGTACGTCGCTTTTATTACGTGCAATCGGTCATAATCCGTCTCCGTTCCTCTCCCTCGTCTCGTTCTCCTCCCCGCGGCGATCCTCGACTCCGCTCGCTGTCGTCCTACATCATTCACGACACATAATCGGTGGCGTGCTCAAGTATAGTATTAACAAAGCCCTCTGTATGTCGTACTCGAGTATAGGTTGAGAAGCATTAGATTCCGAACAAACTAAAACTGTCAGTTCAGGTAAATTCCTATCATTTGTTAAATTTATTCGGACAAAATTACGAATTTTTACGAATACGAATACGAATTTATTATTGAGTAAAAAAGAAAAGAGAGAAAGAATATATAAAATATTATTTTATAAAAATATATAATGTTCTATATTAAAGCTGCAATAATCTTTTTACATGTTAACAAAAAATGAGCGATATAAATAACTATGTTCTTATATGCGAAGCTCTTGTGTATATATCTTTTTAGTTAAGTATCTTTGGTAAGAGATATAACATGACGGTTTGGATTCACATGATAAATATACAACGTGTACGTTACATTTGTCGAGCTTTTTTAAAACTATTGGAAGACTATGGGCTTTTGTACCGTGTTTCGCACCCGTTGCATCTTCTTTTACAAGGACACACACACACACACACATGTGCGCGCATAAAGCGCGCGATGACGCGAGCAAGGAGGTAAACAGAATGTGAGTTGACATTTACTCGTGTCTCGATTAGCATAGTAAACCTTCTTCTCGGTAGCCTATAATTAGATTCGCAACTTGCGAGCTCTTATTCTCGATCTCGTCAAATCCTGTCATCTTGCGAGGACGCGAGTCTTTTCTCATCTCGAGAGGCATTGGAACAGCCTTGACATGATCCTTACTCGAGAGAAAAGATACAAATTAAATTTTCTTAGAAAGGTAGCTAATAAGTTTAAATGTTTTTATTAAAATAGCGCGAAATCTGTGAAAAATATTTGTAGATTATGGAAATTTCTTATAAATTAAGAGAGAGAGAAAAAAACTTGAAAGTCACGAGTGACGTATCTCTTTTTATACTACTAATTTCTTCACTTTCCTGCAAATAAATGTTAAGGATTAGTGGATATATTTTTAGGAGTGTAATATCATGTTGAAATAAATGCTTTATTTAGTAAAAAAATATACAAATTTTAATTAGTTTGATAAATTACAAAATTGAAGAAATCTCTGCAATTTTACGAATTTATAAAGTATATTGCAACTTCAGAGTAACTGATGTTTTTATTGGAATTTCGAGTCCTAAGGAAAACAAGAAAACCGTCGACACAATATTTACCGTCTTTCCTCGTCAGCTTCGACGATTCAGTTTTACTTGATTACATTAATTTACAGCCTTCCAGTCGCTCTAGAAACGAGTTCTGTCAAGTTTAATCGACGAGCGTCAGCAGCGAGCGGAAGTTGTTTGTTTGATCCTCCCAGAGAAGTTACTTAGTTAAACGTTCAAGTTCGTTTGCTAGCTTCGAGAGAGGAGTATTCTCGGGGTCTTTTATGGTACCGTGGCATTAATGAAGTCAGTCGATCTCGTGCAACGTTAATCGTGTAAATCTTGTATCTCTCTCTTTATCACGGTAGTACTGTGTCTTAATTCGTTTTTCCTCGACTATTATATCTTTGACTTCAATGTACGTTTTCCATCAAACTTTCAACGTAACGCGAAATCGCGAACTTTGCAGATAAATTATTTCTCCGTCTACACAATGTAAGTCACGTGTCTGCATATTTTCGATTCGATAATAAAAATTAATTATTTTATATCCTTATTTTTTTACCTTGTACTCTTTTTTTTTCTATTATGCGGAGACGTGATACCTTTTTATAACGTAAATGCGTGTTTGCCCGACTGTAATCCTGTTTTGTACACGACGTTACGACACGCGAGAAAAAACGAGTTTACTCGATTACGCGTCAGATTAAGCACCACGTGTGTCATCGACACTCGTGGAAAATCCCGGCAGTTACGGTGTATTTGGTCTGCATCGCGATAGAAACCGTGTGTGTGGCTATCGTGTATGCTAATAAGACGTGGCAAAGAATTTGAAATAAACACGCGAACGAAACGTGATATCTCGGAAATCACGCAAGCGCAACTTTCCGTTAGGCACATTTTCTCGCAAATGCATACATTACGAATCGCGATTGGAGGCTACGTCATTAGAATAATGCTCTAAAAATAATGATGTATGTCTTTTATCGCGCCGCGTACGTTGCTGTTTCGCGAATGAAAAGAATAATAATTACTGCATACGTGTGATATTACTGTGTGTCACGCGTACGTTTGTCTGTGTTTGTTTATTATTGTCCCGACAATTGAATGACGTCTCGTCTCGACTACGTATCTGCATAACAATAGAATATAACGATAAACATTGGACTTTGGAACGTATGTGAGGGACGCGAGAAATGCAAAGTGCATAAATGCAAATTTACATTCAGGTTTTTTTTTGTAAATTTGATAATGACTATTTGCGTTAAAAGTGTCTCCAGTTATCGTCATTTTCCTTAAAAAAGATGACCTAATAAACATTAATAAGATACTGCAAAACATTAAAGAATGATGATGTTATCATTGGTCCCTATCAATTGTATGGTCTCCGAGAAACAAAAGTTTGTAATATATTATACGATTTATAGGTACATATTTCCATCCTCGAAGTTTAATATAAAATATTAGAAAGTTTATCGTAACGAATATCCCCGTATGATATAAAAGAATCATTAGCGATAAATGACGAAAATGATTGGCAGTATTGATTGAAGTAGGTATCTTATGTCCCGCAGAGGAATATGCAGTCGGCTTCGATAGCAGCATGGAGTAATTTCTTGCCGGTCGTCCCGCCGTCGACGCACCCGTCAAGCAGGACCCACGGAGCGCCACCGGGATTGACAGCGCACGCTGCTGCAAGTCATCGCGGTCATCCTGGTCATCTCGGCGGTACACCAGGCGGAGCCCCCGCCGCCGCCGTTACCACGCATCCCGTAAACGTGGTGCAGCAACAGCGGGAGCGCGAGGAATACGAAAAGTCCGCGCGAGAGATGAGAGAAATCCGCGAGCGAGAGAATATGGCAGCTGAAAGGCAGGTCCAGCGTCAGGCCGAAGCAAGGGATCACATCGCCGCGCAACAAAGGGCCGCTTACTACGCGGCCACGGCGTCGCCGGCTCAACAGGTACGTTTTTACGTCATATATACATATATGTATATATATTGTATATATATTTTTCTCGTATATTCTCCTAATTTTTGTCGACATCTTTAACTCTATTATAGTAATAAAATAAACATTTAAATTACTCATCTGTTTTAGAAATGGAACGCTAATTATTTTGTGATAAACGATTAATTTACGATGAATCGTATATATTTTTTTATTGGCATATGTCTTATTTCAGGTATCTCGACCTTCGAGCGTGCCCGGAAAAGTCGAGTACCCGCCTCCGCCGGCGCACACGCGGACGTCGAAATCGTCGTTGCCAGTCGGTGCTCTTCACGAGAAACCACCATCGGTAGTGGGCTCATCGCACAGCTCGCTACCGAAGGCCGAGCCGAACGTGAATCTATTCAATTATTCATCGACGTACCAGCCGTCCTGTCCGCCGTACCTGCATGACCTCAAGATTCAGAACGAGCTACGGCAGCCGCCAAAGTCTCTGCCGGGGATTTATAAAGGATTATTTGAATAATCACGAGCATTAAATTTACCAGAAAGTATTTAGCGCTAATCATTTGTTTAATAATTTGTTGGAATCGATGAAATTCGTATTTATGAGTTGTATCAATAACATGCCTTTAGGCAATAAATTTTGACAGTAGAAATCATAGAAGCATGAATAAACAGTAGCTTTATTTGCTATGCTGCAGTTCTTAGGTTACAACTGTCGTAAGATATTCTTGAAAATTTTTGCATTTTATAATTAAAGAAAAAAAAATATTTAATTCGTGTTTATTATGACAGAAAAAAAGAAAACAATGTTATATGATTTATTTGATATCAATTGATATGATCAAATTCAATATGATTCGAGCATGTGTACTTTTTCTAAATTTTGTTTTCATTTATCATCAACACCGGATTAAATTCGCAGTTAAAATATCATGTTATATTGACTCAGATTTGCTCGAACATTTTTTTTTATTTGTATCGAATAATTTTTAAAATAATATTTTAATAGAGACTATTCGGGAAGGAAGAAAATTTGATGTTTTTTGAAAAATTCCCAAATATTATTTTTACAAATACATATTTCTAGTGTGTGTGTGTGTGTGTTTTTTTTTTTTTTTGCATTCTGTGCCGATTTATAATTCATATTTATATATTGTGATATATGAGTAGAGCTTATAGACTGTTTAAAATTTTTAAAAATTACCGCCATTTTCTTTTTCAAGCAGTAATTTCCGGGTTAACGCACGGCGCAGTAAGGCTGCGTTCGGAAACATCACCCGTGTGCACACGAGTGTCATTCTATCTTTGTTATGTATCAAAAAGTGGTTAGAAAAATCGCACAGTGGTGTTGATTTCAGCGGAGATTTTACTATGGAACTGCAATCGAATGAAATTGTAACAATATTTGGAATCAAATAAGAAAAACAAACGCTTCGGAAAAAAGTAATTCTACTGTATTTTATACGCGAAATTTTATGTGAGACAAAGAAAATGAGAGAGAGAACACGTGTCGAAAATAAAAATATAAATCGAAAGATAGTTTGTTTTAATTTTTATTTAGAAAATCTTTGCCTCTATAAATACTTAAAAATGTTAACATTAACATTGACTAATATTATGAACGAATAAATTTATCTGAATTCAATATATATTAATGTAATGTTGTATATGCAATAGATGCTTAAATTATTTTGCATTGTGGTAGTAGAATATAATTTCTAACTTTGTTTATATAGATTTAAATGAATATTTGAAATTACATGCGAAATAACACAAAGTATTACGTATTTAAGATTTAGAGAATGAACAAAATCTCTATTCTAAGAAATAATATGAAACGTAATACTTTTTGATGTTTGCTATGTAAAGCGGGATGGCCGGCGATCTCGAGAGGGACCATCACGGCAGAGAGGTGCTGCAGAATCCTCCGTCTCTGCTGCCGGATCACAAAAGCTCGGTGATTGTGAAGAACGAGGGCAGGGAGTTGGCGAAAGCATCGGTACCGCAACAGCACTCGTCCAGCTCGAGGGGTTACTTGAGTCTTCAATCGGTGGCGCCGCAACACAAATCGTCAGCGTACGAGGCGTACAGGAGTCCGACACAGAGCCCGCATCATCTGCATCCTGCGCACTTGGACGGTCTACAGGTGGCGAAGAGCATCGCTTCATCGGGGAGCCATCACCGGGTCAATAGCGGCGCACCGACAATGACGACGACGCAGCAATTGCCGAGTCCGCACGGCCATGCACCACCGCCTCCGGCGCCTGAACCGCGTCTGCATCCACATAATCCCCGTCAGTCTCCACATGCCCCGCCACCGCAGCACCCGCATCAACCGCCCCCGCCGCCACATCCCTCGCCACCTGAACCGCGCTATCTGAACAGGCCGGAATCAGCCGGTCTGCCATACGGCGCGGCCAAATCTACGTATTCGTATCCGCATCCGCCCACGGCCTCGCCGACGCCGTCGTCGCATTACGCCACGCCGCCGCCAGCCGGCTCCAAGCCGAAAGTCAGCAGCCCGGCGCCGCCACACATTTACGGCAAGCCTAATTCCGGCATCATGACCGGTACGCCGGTCTGCCGTGCCTCCGAGCCGCCCGTCGCCGCGCCGATACCGTTGACCTCGAAGGCCGGCAGCTCGCCTTACCAGCAAGTGCCTCATCATCACGGGGCGCCACCGCCGCCGCTGCCACCGCCCGCGCATAGCCGGGTTTATGACAGTCGCTTCGTTAGCTCGTTGGCGAGCGGCAAATTGCCGCCGCCGCCGTTGCACGGTTCGCCACCAACGGCCGCCTCGGCGCCGCTTTCGAGGCCGATTGCCCATCCCGCTCATCCCGCGCATCTCAGCGCTAGTCCGCACCAGCAATCTGGTCAGACGCTGCAGCACGCGCAGTCCCAGATCACTACGGCCTTCCAGACGCAACCACTTGACCTCGGTGTGGAGAGGTCGAGCTCACCCAAGAGAAAAGCGCCGACGCCATTGTTATGCGACAATACCAGTGGTCAACCGGTGTCGTTGGAAATCTGTAAGAAGAGAAGAACTGAGGAACCGCAACCATTGTCTTTGCAGTGCGTCGGCCAGCCTGTTTTATCTAGGGTGAGCGAGCCTAGTCCACTTATTGCCTCGGCCGCCACATCCATCACCACAGTTGTCAACACCGCAGCGTTGTTGGCGCAGTCGAACAGTCAGACGACACAAGAGCAACGCACGGTGACGGCGGTGAGTCCGGCGCCGGGTACCGCCAGCGGTGACGGCTCCACGCGACCAGCCAGCACCGGCAGCGTATGCTCACTGAATCCCGCGCCATTGAGCGCGGCACCGAGCCCAGCACCCATACCCAGTCCGGCGCCATCCACAGCGCCCAGCCCAGCGCCCAGCGCGCCCGGTACTCCCGCCAAAGTAAACCCTAGCACAGGCGCGGACAGCGAGAAGTCCAACAGTCCGGCGCCGAGACCGCCCAGCAGTACTAGTTACCCGGGGCACAAGTTGAAGAAGGCATGGTTGCAGAGACACTCGAGATGCGAGGACGGCACCGAGAATACCACCAATATGGTCAGCAGCGTTACGTTACCATTGAATATCTCCCGAGAGACGTCATCGTCGAACAGCAAGGATCGCGACAGTAGCAACGCGTCAAATGTGACTGCGAATAACAGCAGTGCACCGACCACTTGCTTACCCAGCGCGGTCAATTCGATTCACAATATTGGCAGCATGGCAGTGAACAGTATCAACAAGAGCAAGGTCACCGGCAAGAGCGGCCGGAAACCGGCGAACAAAGAGTCGCTGAACGGTCACGCTACGGATACTAGCAAGACCCCGCAAGAAGACTCGTCCAGCAGCGACCCGGAGAGGAAGTCGCCGCCTAAACGAAAGCCACCCAAGGTATCTATCTATACAAATCGTTTACGGTTGTCGTTGTAGTTGTCGCTGAAAATTACTCTTCTTCGTAATTTGAATTCTGCGTATTATGATGTGTGTTGCTAGCCTATAGTACTCGCTTGCCTAGTTTGTAAAAAAAACTGTTGTTGTCATCAAAACTCTCTTATCCGCAGTTTAAAATGCATGTAAATTTATGATAAAATGATAAGGCACGAAAATTTATTATTGAATTATTAAATCTTGTTTTTGATTGATTAAAAAATTGTTGATTTTTGAAGAAATGTCTGTTGCTGTACGTTTTATAAACGTCAACTTGGATCTGAACCTATTTAACAACATATTGTTGAGACACAAAAATAGAGAATGAACAAAATCTCTATTCTAAGAAATAATATGAAACGTAATACTTTTTGATGTTTGCTATGTAATTTAAAAAATTTAATAGTTGATCTTATTTTTGAGTTTACGAAGACAAATATTGTTCAATAGCAATTATAAATTGAAATTATCTTTTGAAACAAATTTTTGTTTTCCTTCAGCACACATTGAATTCTTTTTTATTTTCTTTGTATCGTGTGGAATTTTGTAATAGATGGATATTATAAATAAATAGTTTTTGTGGACTGGTGGATAGATGTTACGACATATGATAACTGCTTAAGTCTTAAGTCTTAAGTTTTTGTCTGTAGTAGCATTTAATAATTTTTAACTTTGCTTAGATTTGAATAGATTTTTGGATTTTATGTGCCGAATGGTAGTGCCGGAGCAGTAGTGTGAGCAGTTAGTAGCTTCGGCTAGTAGATGCGGCAAGAGCATGAACTTCCTGACTACTTAATAATCTATGCCCTGTGGTAGGTAAAACGAAAGAAGGGCGCCGCACGAAGGCAACAAACGGCCGCGGAAGATCAGCGGAGGCGAAAAGAGGACAAGCAAGGCGGCGGAGCTGCTGCAGGCAGTGAATCTAGCAACGAGAGTGAGGCGGGCTCTGCCAGTGATACCAGTGAACAGTTGAGCACCATTCAACCTGCTTCGAGGGTTCGACATACTACGGCCAATTCCAACAATTCTTCGGGAAACGGTTAGTTGATGTAGCTTCTTAAATGGACTTCTCGTCAGGTGAACTAACTATTCACTTACAGGGTAAGTGATGCGTGTTCCATGATCGTACAATTATTTCTCTCTCTAGAGCTGTATGAGAACTCAAGAGAATCAAGAGTGATTGACAGATTGAATTATGCTTGATTTGTGAAAGTCAATCTTTGCTAGAAGAAAACAAAATTTATAAAAGAACTCTTGGATCTTTTACGTTTTCTTTGAGTTCACTATTTTTAAATTTTTATAATTTGGTCTCACGCACTTACCCTGATCCCTAATTACATCGTTACACTAATATGTGTATATACCCCTTCTATTTTTTAAAATAACATATACATGATGACAATATGAAACAATTGATAACATTGTGATACACTATTATTATGAGCTTTTTAACACTGAATTGCACTAAACACATGATTTAGAGCGATGGTTTAGACTTTTTGATAAAGCCAAATACATGATTTGCTATGTAGGAAATAACAAGGAACCTAGGAAACGTGGTAGAAGACCAAAGACTACGAAAGGCAATGAAGTCGGAAGCGAAGATCAACAGCCTCGTCAGAAGAAGGAACGTAGAGACGACAGTACGAGCGGCGGTAACAATGGGCCGGGCGGAAGTGGTGGACGAGGCGATCCCTTTCGTAAACCACCGATATCGCAATTGAAGAAAACTGGGGAGAGCTGGTTGCAGGATGGCGCTTGTTTTGAGGTGGCTCCAAAGCTGGCCAAGTGCCGCGAGTGTCGATGGACGCCACATCAGCGCTCCAAGAACCTTCCTCAAAATATCTTCTGCAGATTTTATGCGTTTCGCAGACTGCGTTATACCAAAAACGGACAATTGGCCATAGCGGGATTCAGCGATCCACACAAAGATGCATCCGAGGTAAATTATCTTTGCAAAATAATTGATGTGTGACTAGTCATGGTAATTGCACTTAATTTGTAACGATCTTACAATTTCAATTCAAAATGCATGCTTCTCACACAAGAACTATCATTACAATGTTACAGGAAGATCTTCGATTATGGTTACCAGGAAAAGACAATCAAGAAACAACAGGAAAGGACGATAAATCCGAGAAAAACGAGAAGGACAAAGGGGACCGAGAAGACCTAGATTTAGAAACGGCTCATCGGCTGCTTCGACAAGTTGGCGATCAATTTTGTGATCTTTTACATCAAGAGAAAGATGCTCTCCAAGAACACATGGCTGAAGGTAAATTTTTACTGTTTTAAAAAACGCATTTTTGAATTAATTTCTTCATATTTTTCATATTAATATATTAACGCAAATGTCATATTGCATGTATTATAATAAAGCCTCGATTTGTTAAAATTAATGCTATCAATATTTTCAACGTTTCTTTTTTCATTTATTTGATTTTTATACATTATTGTATTTTTGCCATTTTACATTTCGTGTAAAATATATGATCACGCAATAAGAGCAAAATACAATTTGCAATTTTAATTTGATATTCATTTTTGCACTTTTTATTTGCAAAATTATAAATCATTTAAATGTTAAGCTGCATGTTTGCTTGCATAATTTCTTTTGTTCGCATGTTTTAACGCTTTGCGCATCGATTATGATTACCTTTTGACAGCGAGTTCGGGGGTTGTAGACGGAACAGTAGCGTGGAAACGAGTGATCCAGGGTGTTCGAGAGATGTGCGATGTATGTGAGACTACCTTATTCAACTATCATTGGGCCTGCGGCAAATGCGGTTTCGTCGTGTGCATCGATTGTTATAAGGTATAAAATATTACGTTAAATAAATAAATAAATTATATATATATATATATTTTTTTTTTCAACTAAACATTAGGAATTAAATGATGACAGCATTAATTTAATTGATATTATTGTGATATTATTATATTTATCGAGCTTTTTAACACTGATATTAATGTAAAAATCTTCGCTGATCTTTGTTTCCTAAGGAGAAAATGTATTAGTAGAAATGTTAATATTTTAGGGACGTAAAAATGGGACGATCAAGATCTGGGGCGAGAGTGGGAAAGACAGGGACGAATTCTCATGGCTTCTATGCACGAATAGACAAGCACACGAACCGGAACGGCTCATGCTTACGCAAATCATCGCTGGGGACAGTCTTCTGCGATTGGGCCAACGTCTGCATGAATGTCGTGCAGAATGGGGAATCCCTCAACATTGTGCTTGTTCTCTCGTAACCTCGACACAGCCCAACGAGATTCTTCGAAATATGATCAAGGGCGATTCCGTGCCTGTTCTTAATGGAAATATAAAGCAGGAGGTGAAGGAAGAAAAAAAGATAAACGAATCTAACGGTGCATCGGAAAGCAAGACCAATGGCGAGGATAAAAACTCGCCACTGAACATTTAACAACATATTGTTGAGACACAAAAATTCTAATATAATATATTATTTATATTAATTTAACTATATTTTATATATTTTTTCGATAATTGTCTTAATATATGAAATGTAATATTTTTGAGGAATTTATTTCAGAGAATGCTTTGATATCTTACGTATTACTTTTTTGTTACGATTAAATAACTATTTATAAAGGATTATTTGAATAATCACGAGCATTAAATTTACCAGAAAGTATTTAGCGCTAATCATTTGTTTAATAATTTGTTGGAATCGATGAAATTCGTATTTATGAGTTGTATCAATAACATGCCTTTAGGCAATAAATTTTGACAGTAGAAATCATAGAAGCATGAATAAACAGTAGCTTTATTTGCTATGCTGCAGTTCTTAGGTTACAACTGTCGTAAGATATTCTTGAAAATTTTTGCATTTTATAATTAAAGAAAAAAAAATATTTAATTCGTGTTTATTATGACAGAAAAAAAGAAAACAATGTTATATGATTTATTTGATATCAATTGATATGATCAAATTCAATATGATTCGAGCATGTGTACTTTTTCTAAATTTTGTTTTCATTTATCATCAACACCGGATTAAATTCGCAGTTAAAATATCATGTTATATTGACTCAGATTTGCTCGAACATTTTTTTTATATTGTATCGAATAATTTTTAAAATAATATTTTAATAGAGACTATTCGGAAGGAAGAAAATTTGATGTTTTTTGAAAAATTCCCAAATATTATTTTTACAAATACATATTTCTAGTGTGTGTGTGTGTGTGTTTTTTTTTTTTTTTGCATTCTGTGCCGATTTATAATTCATATTTATATATTGTGATATATGAGTAGAGCTTATAGACTGTTTAAAATTTTTAAAAATTACCGCCATTTTCTTTTTCAAGCAATCAAGATAAAAATGAGAGCGGTTCGAGTTCGGACTCGGACGAAGATCGCGAAGGTAACTACTCGACATTGCGTGAGTTGCTCATCAGGCCGTCGCACAAATCAAATGGTAGCGGCGGATCCAGATCGAATTCGCCAACGACTAACTCGGGCGGTAGTGTAAACACTACCAGCGCAGCCGGCAACAACGCTCCACAAAATAACGTTGCCAAGTCCGGTAAAAAATCAAAGATGGATACGCTTGATGAGGTAATATCTAGTGTGATCGAACATAGCGTGAAGAAGGAAAGGGGTAACGGTCTGGATGACGAGAAACCACGTGTGTTGAAGTACTTTGTGCGACGCTACAAGTGGACGCAACGCGGCCGAGAGCCGTTACCAATCAGAATTATGACACTGACGGAGAGTAAGAGCCTTTATCCGGATGTTCCACACTCCTGGCTCTGCAACGGCAAATTGTTGAGGTTAAACGATCCGAATAATCCCAACAACTACAGAATATTCCAGGATCAATGGAAGCGAGGACAACCGGTGATCGTATCGGACGTTTCCAAGGCGCTGGACATGAATCTGTGGCATCCGGATTCGTTCGCCCGCGATTTTGGCGATGAGAAGAATGATCTCATTAACTGTATGACCGGCAATCTGGTGCCCAATCAACCAATGCGCAAATTTTGGGAGGGATTCGAGAATTTCTCCAAACGGCTAAAAGACGAACGAGGGAATCCTATGCTGTTGAAACTGAAGGACTGGCCGCCTGGCGAGGATTTCGCTGAATTACTACCGTCGAGATTTACAGATCTAATGAAGGTTCTTCCATTATCCGAATATACACATAGGAATGGCAGACTGAATCTGGCGAGTCGTTTGCCAAATTGTTTTGTGAGACCGGATCTGGGCCCGAAGATGTACAATGCTTATGGTTCCGCTCTTCACCCCAGCAAAGGCACGACTAACCTTCATCTCGATATCTCGGACGCCGTGAATGTCATGGTATACGTAGGAATTCCAAAGGATGCTGATAGCGACGAACACATCAAAGGTATGTACTTAAATTTTGAGTTTAATTACGCGTGATTAATCTGGGATTGCGTTCGTCAAATGTCACTGTTGTCGAAACGATGATCGATCTTTCGAATATTAATCATTACGTAACGTTTGTTGTTATAGAAGCATTGAAAGCAATAGACGAAGCAGGCTGTGATGTTCTGACGCGTCGACGTGCTCGTGACCCTAACGAGGCACCTGGTGCACTATGGCACATTTATGCAGCGCGCGACGCGGACAAAATTCGAGATCTTTTGAATGCTGTTGCCTTAGAACGCGGAGCTCGCTTGGAGCCGCACCATGATCCCATACATGATCAGAGTTGTTACCTGGATGGATCATTGCGCGAACGATTGTATCGAGAATACGGTGTCGAAGGGTAAGTGTCGTTTTTCACAAAATCCATAATCTAAATAAAGTTAATGAAATAATTCTCGAAAGAATATTATCGCGATGTCACTTGTCCAACCATTTTATGAATTAAAAAGTTTAAATATTTGCAGATACGCCATCGTTCAATGTCTCGGCGACGCAGTATTCGTCCCAGCTGGCGCGCCGCATCAAGTTCGTAATCTTCACAATTGCATAAAGGTGGCCGAAGATTTTGTTTCGCCAGAAAACGTTTCGCATTGCTTCCACTTGACCCAAGAGTTCCGTGCATTATCGGACACGCATACTAACCACGAAGACAAACTACAGATAAAGAACATCATTTATCACGCCGTAAAGGATTCTCTGACTGTCTTGGCTAACGTTAAAGAAGAAACTATAGCCAAACTCGCCAAGGCCAACAATGAGACAAAGATAAAAGAAGAGACTTAGCCGTAAGTTCTTTGGTGCGGTCGTAAGACCTTTTGACAATTCCCTTGATCGGGTCTCGTCGTGCGAGCGAGATTAATCGTAGCCGGCACTCCCGAACACAGCAAAGCTGACGAAACCGGGAGAATTTGCAGAAGCGGATCCGTCCTCGCCGCGGAAAGATCATTGAGAAAATGCGAGGATTTGTTGTGATATATACATACATACATATATAAATACAAATATATAATAATGTTAATAAAAATTTTTTTTAATCTGGAAGAATTATTTGAGTTACGATATTGGTTGAGCCAATGAACATTAGTTATATATGTACATTGTTTCATTTGAATTTTCTTATATACACAATTTTTTTTTTTTTTTTTTTTTTGTTCTCCCACTTTTTCCCCTCGAGAGAGACGCTCGCGGACATGAAGTCCGACGAGCTGTACTATGTGAGTGAAAAAAAAAACAAAAAAATAATCGTGAGCCGGATTGCGCATAGATAAAACGCCGCGTCCATTACTTGTGATACCAGACGGACTTTGAATCGTATACATTATTTGTAATTAATTATATTGTGCCTGTATCCAATACACACACTGTCTATATTATATAAATGTAGATAATTGTGAAATATTGTGTATGAATTTTTGTGTATGAATTTTACTAGCAACTACCAGAGAGAAGAAGGGAGGAAAAAAAAAAGAAGTTGTCTAGAAGTACCTTTGTGCAATTAGATGTCCGATCACATATTATTATATAGCTGGATCAAAGCTATAATTGTGGATCCATTTAATCGTGTGCTCTGGTGATCTGGTGCTTTCGGTATTTGATTAAAGTCCCGGCCAGAGATAGCCGATACGTATTCGCGTTTAAGTCTCTTATGTTCCACGCGACAAGGGCATAAGGATAAAAACACTGCCTAACTAATCGGTTCGACGATAATAGGAGAGGTAAACCTTTTCGCACTTTTAGTAGTTAATTCGTATCGTTCGCGTTCGATCTTCTTTAGAGGCATATTGTTTTCCAATGGCGACATATGTATCGGTTATGTGAACGGCGGGGTATTGCTACAAGTTTTGTGTGTCACTTCGATTAGAAGACATCAAAACGAGAGAAAGAATACAATAATTTCTTCGATATTAACTTTTTGAGATATAATGGCGAATATGTGAAACAGATCGTTGAATTGTACGTTTTATTGCTGTCGTGACCCAGTGACTACCCGGCGTGTAATGTAAACGGGGATATTGATAAGATGAATATGTTATTTTTGTCAAAGCGTATACAAATCGACAAAAGACAGCGATAACATAATTATATTGTAACGATACGCTAAACAATGAGACGCTAAACAAATAAGAAAACATTTGCAGTAACATTAAAAAATAAAGAAAAAGGATAACGACTTTTGAAGTGCCAATGTTGAACGACGTAGGACATTTAAGTGTACGCGCGTTTGTGTAAGCGTATATGCGTAAGTAGAAAAAAGAAAAACAAGTAACACAGAAAAGAAAAGAAAAATAATTAGTCACACAAAATTTGCAGAGATGACAGGCCGAGTTTCTATTATTTCAATAATAATAGTTTATGCGAATGACACGAAGTATTTCCGATTATTATTCGCACTATCATTAATGATTCGAAAACTGCTGTCGTTTCCGTTTCCGTTTCCTTTCGCGAAATTTGTTTTATAGCGCGAATCCATTATGATGAGAGAACGTTTTCGATATACTTGCGTTCATAATTTATGACGCGTGACAATTATAATAAGACAGCAATTCTCGATTCGAGTATAATGTATATTGTCGAGTATGCGCGATTTACGCGCATCGATCGATCGATCATCAATTTATTATACGGCTGGTATAATTAACACGAGCGTGTAAACAAAAAGAATGAACAGAAAAAAAGAAAAGAATAAAAATATATCACTGGCATCCTAAAATCCGCAAGTTCTTTGATCTCAACATTCGTCTAGCATACAACGACTTGATTAAATAATATTTAACGAATAAATTTTTAAATATCTTAGTGTCGATAAGTAAGAGAATATAAGAATTGTGTAAACTACAAACAGCAACTACAAAAGTACTAACTTCACAATGGCAGTGTATAAAGTTCTAGGAAGACATATTTCCGTGTATTATTGCTGCAGACGAGACGCTATTGTTTGTTCTCTTGCTACGTGTATGTACATACATTTATATATATATATATATACATCCGTATATGTATACAGATATAAATACGAAAAAGATGAAAGAAGAGTCTAGGACTTGTAATGATAAGGAAATACACATACACACAATCTTTACGAAACACGAAAAAATTACACCTTATACACACGCGTAGATAGATAGTTTATTATGCCATTATTATATAATTATTATATTATCATATTACGATTAATTATTACGGAAAATACGATATTTAAATGTTGCTAAATATATGCCGAAAGGAGTACGAGCACGAGCGCGCGAGTGTAAATGGTCAAAAAAAAAAAAAAAAAAGAA